CTTTCAGCTTTCCTTTAGTCACTTGGGAGCCTGAAGCTGGGAAACTCTGTAAATGAAGGTCCCATAATACAGGGCATGGCTTCCTTCCCCTGACCCCATAACTCCGCTCATCAAAATGGGTTTGGACAGCATGTGAAGGTGGTGAGGGGCAACAAGGTGCCCTACCATCTCCCCTTTAGTTCTATATAAACACACAGCTTTTTGCAATAAAATTGGAATTCTCCCGGGAAGTGTCTTTGTCTGGGGAATTCTTTCATTCTGGTGCCCCCTGTGAGGAGAAGGGTGAGCTCTTTCCAACAAGAGCCCCGTCCCCTGCCCCACTGAGGACTCTCCGCCCAGGTCTGCTGTTTTCAGACGTGGCTTCTGCACTCACCACTGATTAGACTGTAGGTAAGGTCCCCTTGACCCCGGCTCGCCAACTCCCTTGGAGCTACAGCTGGTACTGTGACCCTTGATCCTCAGGCACACTCCAGAAGCTCGTTGGGGGAAGGGGATTCCCACCACTAAGACCTTTACTGGTCGCAGTGGACCCTCTGGTGAAGCGTTTCCCTTTGGGGCGTGAGGCTTCTGAGTTTGCAGGAGAGGTTCTGTGGTTTTTTCCTCCTCTGCTGCTGCTGCCACTGCTGCCGGCTAGAGCTGCTATTTCCTGCTGGGCTACTGTGTCTGCCTGAAGCTGCCTTTCTGCTCCGGCGGGAAAACTGAACTCCCGGCCTGGAACTCCGTTCCGCTGGACCCGGAGTTCTGTTTTCATTACTGACTTTTTCCGCTGTGGTCGAAAACTTTCCTGACGTCAGGTTGCCCGTGGCTCAGACCCCATTGGGTCTCACAGATCGCACTTCACTGTTGACGACCAGGTAGTGCCCTCTGTAGTTCCTGGCGACGGCTGGTCATTTTGGGGACGCCCACCTGACCCCCATTGGCCCTGGGATTCCTGGAAGCAGTTCCAGCCCGGGTTTTCCCTTTGTCTTTCTCCATTATGCTTATTCTCTCTTTCTCTCTTCCATCCCTCCCTGTGACTATGGGCACCTCTTCCTCTATACCTGAAGCCTCACCTCTCAAATGTTTAATAAAAAATCTGGCCACACTCTCCCTCACACCAGACATC